ACACAGGCTGTGGAGTTTGATGGCACTCATCCAAGGTCCTTACTCTGTGACCTTGGGCATTTAACCTGTAAGTTTCCTCGTGTGATAATGAAACTAACAATATCTATCTCTTGGGTAACTGTGAAAAATGCATCAAATGACTCCTGAAGTGGTTTTCACAGGACCTGACACATAGGATGGTCCTTGTAACTGAGAGCAGATTATTCCTATTGTTGCCATCCCCATACCAAACACTCCGACCTCCAGAGAACAATTGTCTCCTTCACGTGAATATCAAGTCAGACCCTGACTGAAGGATACTGTGTGAGGGTGTGAAGCATGTATGACTTTAAGGTAGTATTGTTTGTTGTTTGTTGTTGAAGTAGAAGGAATGTCTTGGTTCTGTTCGTGCCTTTACCTGGGCTTCCATTGCTACCCCTAGGAGCAATTTTAGGTGAGTGGTATATTGTAGGTTGAACACTCAGCCCAGTCTGTGTTCAGTGGTGTGGGAATGTAGTGTTGCAGTCCTTGGGATCTTCTCAGTATTGTAAAAAGCAAACAGGTACACCCAAAGTGTCTAGCTTGGTGGTCAAGGGCATGGGCTCTGGAATTAAAATGTGGGTTATCAAAAAAAAATGTGGGTTATCTTCCTGACCCCACTATTCACCAGGGGTATTACTTTGGTTAAGTCACATGCCCTCTCGGTGACTCAATATTTTCTTCTGAGAATGAAATTAGACTGTCTATTCCTTGGGCTGTTGTACAGAGTAAATGTAGGTATAAATTGTCCTTGGTTTGGGTGCAACTGGGTGCCTCAGTTGGTTAGGCATCCCACTCTTGATTTCTGCTCAGATCACGATCTCAGGGTCATGCGATTAAGCCTGACATTTGGCTCTGTGCTCAGCGGGGGTCTGCTTCTCTCCCCCTCACTCTCCCTATGCCCTTCCCTGCCCCTGCACTCTCTTTCTAAAATAACCAAATAAATTTTTAAAAAATAAATAAAATTGTCCTTGGTTTGGGTATAAACCTATTAATGCAGAGAAGCTGGCAGACAATCTCCAAACATTGACTCTGTGGGAAGGCTAGAGGTACCAGCCAAGGAGTCTGGGAGGCAAACAAAGTAGGGGTATGGTATGGAAGTTTTACACGCATTTGTGTAACATTTGTGTGTTAGAGTGTCTGTGTATAATATACGTGCATAATTTCATGCATTTTACCAACTATGTAGGCTTTGCGACTATCTCTACAAACAAAATACAAAACTGTGTCATTACCACAAACTTCCCTCATGCTACTCTTTATAGCCACACCTACCTTCTCCCTGGCCCCATATCCCTAATCTCTGTCAAACACTATCATAATTTCAAAAATGTCATATAAGTAGAATCATATAGTATATAACCTTTTTAAATGGATTTCTTTCACTTAGCATAATTCCCCTGAGAACCATCCAAGTTGTTAAGTGTATTGATAATCTGTTCCTTTTTATTGCCAAATATAATTCCATTGTATGGATATATCACTGTTTAGCCATTCACTTATTGAAGAACATCTGGGCTGTTTCTACTTTTTTAACTATTATGAATAAAACCGTTATGAACATTCGTGTACAGATTTTCAGGTGAACACAAATTTTCATTTCTTTGGGTAAATTGCCTAGAGTGCAATTGCTGTATTATCCATTAACTACCTGCTTAGCTTTGGGGAAAAAATGCCAGATTGCTTTCCAGAGTGCCCCTACCATTTTGTATTCTCACTAGCAATATCTGAGTGACTCAGTTTATCCATAGACTTGTCTGCATTTGGTGTTGTCACTATGTTTTAAGCCATTCTAATAAGTGTGTTCATATTTTATTGTGCATTTCCATGATGACTAAAGATGTTAAATATTTTTCATATGCTTACTTTCCATCAGTAAAATCTCAGGTTCTTGAGTTTTGCGCATTGTCTAATTGGATTAAGAGGCGAGATGGTAGCTTCTGAGCCCTGGCTCAGGCTACCAGGCAAAATAAGAGAGGGTGAGGCTCCTCAAAACTTACTTTTCTTGGCACAGGGGGCCCAAACTGGGGCTGACGCTATTTAATGTTCCTCAAATTAAGATGTATCTTGGGACACCTGGGTGGCTCAGTAATTGAGCATCTGCCTTCTGCTCAGGGCCTGATCCCAGGGTCCTGGGATCAAGCGCTGCATTGGGCTTCCCGCAGGGACCCTGCTTCTCCCTCTGCGCCTATCTCTCTCTGCCTCTCTCTATGTGTCTCTCATGAATAAAAAAATAAACAAATAAATACAATCTTTAAAAAATTAAGATGCATCTTGGATTTGTAATGGGATGGAGTTGGGAAAATCTCTGGGTCCATCAGTGGGGATCTGGATAGAAGAAAAAAAGGGAGCTGTGGGATGAAGATAAACAGTGGAAGGAGAGATATATGGGGTGGAGGGAAATGCCTTCTACATGATCCTAGATCCAATGCTCTCAACCTCCTCTATAGGATGCAAAACATTATTCTCTTAGACTTGTGGTTTTCAACTCTGGATATACAGTAAAATCCCCTCCAGTGCCCAGACTCGAGAAACCGAATCAGAATCTCTAGGGGTAGATCCAGTCATCAGTATTTTTAAGGCTCCCCAGTTGATTCTCAAGAGCTGTCATAATGAAAGCCTTATCTAATGGTATATTAGTTTGCTAGGGCAGAGATACCACAGACTGAGTGGCTTAACAAAAAAAAAAACTTATTTCTCAAGTTCTGAAAACTAGAAAGCCAAGATCCAAGTATTTGTAACATTGGTTTCTTGTGAGGCCTCTCTTTTTGCCTTGCAGGTAGTCACCCTCTTTCTTGCTCCTTCTTTACATGGTCATCCTTCTGTGCATATGCAACCTTGGTATCTCTCCATATTTCCTAAACTCCTCTTAAAGGGACTCTAATTATATTGGATTAGGGCCTACCCTAATGGCCACATTTTAACTTAGTTACCTCTTTAATGGCTGTATCTTCAAATCCAGTCATGTTCTGGGTACAGGGGGTTAGAGCTTCAACATATGAATTTGGCTGGGACACAGTTCAGTCCACAACAGATGGTGTAAGAGCTACCTTGGTCTGAGAAGTTCAGCTGCCTTTTATCTTTTTTCCTATAACTACCACACAGTACTTTTACAATCAACTTGTTGGGCAGAGGTTGGTCATGTGGCCTCACATAGCTGCAAAAAAAGGCTACAAATATGGTCTTTTACTGGGAACACTACTATCCCAAATAAATTTTGGATTCTATTATTAAGAAAGAAGGATAATTGTTATAGAATATATGCTACACTTTTATACTCAAGGCAACTAGAAGCACTCCCTCAATTTATTATGGACTTTCTACCCAATTTTCAAACCGCAATTTTCATGGGTTCAAACAAAACTACTATTTTAGAAATATCTAAGATCACTTTCCCATCCTCCCAAATCCCATGTTCCAGACTGCTTGGCTCATCACACCTTAGCATGCATCTTTTTAATCAATGCCATTCATTCATTCAACAAATATTTAGAAATTACCAATATGTGAGAGGCACTGTGATAGGTACTATAGATAAAGAAGAGAACCTGAAAGACATGGCCCTGGTTCCCATTGAGCTTATATTTTAAAGGGTTGATATCCTCAGGGATGGAATATTATTAAGAAAATAATATGGGGAAATATGATAGAGAGCTACTAGGATGGGGAAGGCAGGGAAGAATTTTCTGAAGAAATGACTTTTATCTGATACTCAGTAAGAAGTAGTCAGCTGTGGGAAGATATAGAACCTCAGGGAACAGCAGAGGGATCACCAAAAAAAAGAGGCCCTAAAGTATGAACAAGCTTGGCACATTTAGGAAATAGCTTGGAAGTCAATGTGCCTTAGGACAACAGTGTTAGGAAATGAGATTAGAGTAGTAGGAGGGGCCAGGTCACAGAAGGCCTTATGGGCCATGGGAAACACTTGGGGTTTTGTTCTTACTAAGATGGCACCATTGAGGCATTTTAAGAAAGGAAGAGATATTATTAGAATCTGCTTTATTAAAGGTCACTCAAAATGTTCTTTATACAACAGACTGAAATATAGGAGCAAGGAGATGAGGTAGGAAATTACTACAGATGTGAGAGTGAGAAGTTACAGTGGCATGGACCAGAGTCTTAGCAATGGAACGGGTGAGGAGTTTGAAATGAGATATTTTTCAGAAGTACTAAACTTGTGGTGAAGGATAGAAAGTAATCAAGTGTGTCTTTTGGAATGTGGATCTTTGCAACTGGGTTAGGATGGTTTTCTTAAATGTGGAATTGAGTAGAGGGTCAGGTTTAGTGCAATGCCAGGAAATTGACAGTTCTGTTTTGGTCATGTTGTTTGTGGAGCCTATGAAAAAATCTGGGTGGAGCCACGTTGTTGGATATATATAAGTCTGGATTTCCTGAGAATACTCTTGGCTACAGCAAAAACAAAACAAAACAACTATACAATTTAACAGAAAATTCAATCAGAAAATACTTGATTCCACATATAAGCAAGACTCCGCTGTAAATTCTGGAAAGGATACATGCCACTGATCCAGGATAGAGGCGACAATATGAAGAAAGACTCAGAGTCTCACTGAATTTTAATCTGGGTGACAGTGGGACCAAGACTCAGACTCAGATTCAAACTGAAATTGGACTCAGACTCGGACCCCGAGGCTTTGTCTCCTCCAGTTTTTATCAAGAAATCTAGCAGATTGGCTATAGGAATGATTAACTTTGGGAGGCAGAGAAAAACATGTTTACTTCAAAAGATAAAAGAATAGACTATTGACTCAAAGAAGGGGGAGCAAAGAAGCTGTATCTGGAGAACAATGTGGTCAAGAGCCAGTATGCTGACTCAGGACCTTCCATATCCCCAGTGTGCTGAGGACTACAAGATTCAGTTCTCAGGCTCTGCAGCTGGTTCCCCACAAATACAAAAACTTTTTAAAATCAATTTTACTGAGCTATAGCTTATATTCAATATAATGCATCCATTTTGGGTGTATAATTCAATAAATTTGGATAAATTCATTCTCACATGTAACCCCTACGGTGGAAATATAGAACATTGGTATGAAGGTTTTTCAATTAGCAATAATCACGCCTCGGATAAACCTCATTGGCTACGATACTGCCACTGCGCAAAGCTGGTATGAAGGCTTTTAAGATCCCTGTCACTTTCTTCATGAAGCTCATCATGTTGCTAGAGAGAAAATCATGCATGCATGTAAATTAGAGAAAGATATAAAGAAGTAAAGGATAAGTTTCAATAACTGTAACAGTTCTTGAAGAATGGCACTTTGGTGAGGATATCCATTGTAAAATGCCTGGTTCTAATGCAAATATATTTGGGGCAGGAAGCTTGCCATCAACATAAAAGTCAAGGGAGAAATCAGGCCAGGATACAAGACTTTCATTTCCCCAAATATCTCACCAATATGAAATGCCCATAATTATTCACAACCTTGGCTTAAAATATTTGGAATATCTTTGGAACATAAGTAACAAAATGCACATAAATTTTTCAAGAGTGACATTTATGGGATATGTAGAAAGCCAGCACTCCACAAACATAAGTTTATGGTGTCATTTTAAGATTTTCTGGCTACCACCTCATAAGAAGATAGGGAACTTCAGGACAAATGAGGAATTAGCAAAGCAAGTACTCAATATCCTCCCAACTCCTCTGTTTTTTTTTTATAACCAGACAAGAGAAAGATTTCCTTCCTTTAGGATATCCAAAAATCATTTTGTGATGGCAAGCCCCATCCGGAAGCCCATGACATTTGTTTTAGCCCAGAGAAAAGGAGGGCTTTATTGGGAACATGAGTTCAACTAGGGATTGGAGGAAGCCCTAGAAAATGGTGTGTGTGTGTGTGTGTGTGTGTGTGTGTGTGTGTGAGGGAGATATAAACAAAGTCCATGGGCTAGTAAATTTTTAATATCTGTGTTTATTCATATTGATGGTAACATGTACAAAGTGGCCATAGTGGGAGAGATAGAGGTTATACCTGCGTCTAATAGTATGGGTCTTGACTTATCCTGGTGGATACAACTCTGCTACTGTTGAATGTTTAATCTTCCAGGAACAGAAACCAATGCTGATCACCAAATATGGGACTGGTTGAATAGATTGTGCCTTTTCACTCTGAAAAAGCCAATGGCTCTTTTGAAAGGAATATATACATACTTTGGGTAATGGTTTGCCTGCAGGGTCTTAGCCATCACCTTTATCTGAGAGTATAATAGTGTTTGATCTACTGTCATGGAACAAAAAGACACACTTTATAGCAGCAACATATGGAAATGGACCCACTAACATGGAATTTACTGGTCATATGACAGTTTGAACCACCCAGAAGCTGCTGCCTAATAAAGGATTAGAATGGATTGCTGAACACCAAAGGTGAAGTCCTGTTTAAAGGCAGTATTTTAATACCATTGGGAGTCATCATCTGGGACTCAGTATATACCATGAGTAAAAGATTTTGTATGATTCTGGTCCTCAAAAAGGATAGCATATGGATCTGGAAAACAAGGGGGTGTAAGTAGGATCCCTCACTTGCCATCATTCCAATTTGGGTTCTTGATTTCTAGAACTCTGGGTTATCGAATTATAAAGTATAAATTCTACTCATGCACTTTGTCCTCCTTGTGCTTATCAACCATCCTGAAAAAAGAAGAGTCACTCTCCTGGCAGAGGTAATTGACTCTTATCAGGAGAATGTATGGACATTATTACATACACATTGAGGGCAGGAAGAAATATATTTGGCTACCAAGCAATCCACTGAATGCTTCTTAGTACTCCCCTGCCCAGTTTTGACAGTAAAAGGACCATGGAGAAACCCTGGCCAGGGAAGAATAAGATGACCAGGGATGAGGGTCTAAATAATGCCACTCATAACCCATTACAACCACCAGACTTGAGGGCTGAAGATGAAGGGAATCTAGAATGTGTAGTAGAAGAAAGATATGGGTATTAGTTGTGGCTACAAGACCAGATACAGATATGGGCTGGTAATTATTATCTTCTAAGTTTCCTTCAGTTATACAGACCCACCGGGTTTTCTGGACATATGTGGAGAAGTGGATCCAATCAGAAAAATTGGTAGAGAGACAGTGAGGAAATCAGAGTCATGTTGCCTTGATATCCCCTTCAGAATTGCCTGTGGCAATTGATATCAGCAGATAGCCTGCAGCTATCAGCGGTTTCTGGGATAGCCTCTACTGCAGAAAGCTGTCTTGACCATAGTCAAGTCCTATGGTGTTCCTCACTGATGGAGGTAGGGTAGTCCCAATGCCTGACAAATCTAGCAGAACGTTTTAGCTCCTCAACTCCACATGGAGTGGGCAAAAGCTATTACTAGGTTTGCATCATAGCCTGACTTTTCCTTGATTTAATCCTACTTCTTTCTCCTCCAATCTATAGTTTTTTGTCCCTATGGAACTCTGTAATAAATATCCAGCATACTAAATTCAATCTTAAAGATTGTTTCCTGAGACCACCTTGGGACCCCTTCCAGCTCTTCTGAATGAGAATTTGCATATTTGTCTGTTTTTGTTTAATGCTATATTTCAAGCATCTAGAAGCATACCTGCAACATAGTAGAACTTCAATAATTATTGGTTGAATGGGAATGTAAAATGGCACAACCACTTTGTGGTTTTTTTTTTGTTTTTTTTAAGATTTTATTTATTTATAAATAAAAAGAGAGAGAGAGAGGCAGAGACACAGGCAGAGGGAGCAGGCTCCATGCAGAGAGCCAGACATGGGACTCGATCCCGGGTCTCCAGGATCACGCCCTGGGCTGAAGGCAGCGCTAAACCGCTGAGCCACCTCGGCTGCCTGGTACAACCACTTTAAAGAACAGTTTAAAAGTTTTTAAAAAGTTAAACTTATACTGTACCTACCAATATAATACATCCATTCCACTTCTAGATGATATTCAAGAGAAATGAAAGCATATGTCCAGCCAAGGACTTGTGCATAAATTTCATAACAGCTTTATTCATATAGCTCAAAACTAGAAACGAGTGAAACATCTACCACTTGGTGAATGGAAAAACAAATTGTGGAGTACTTCTCAGCAATAAAAGGAACAAACTATTGATACACTTTAACTACATGGATGAATCTTAAAGTAATTGTGCAAAATCAAATAATCTAGAAGGAAAAGAGTATAGACTGTATTTTCCCATTATATAAAGGCTAGAATATACAAACTGATTTATAGTAACAGAAAGCAAATCAGTGCTTGTTTGGAAGTGGTGGAGGGGGTATAGGAAGGAATGGGGAAGAATTAGAAAGGAACATGAGATATTTGGGGGGTTCATTACCTTTATAGCAGTTATGATTGCATGTATGTGTCAAAACTTAACAAGCTGTTCAATTTAAATATACAGTTAATTGCATGTCAATTATACACAAAAAATTCTGTTAAAATAATCATTGGTTGGATAAAAGAATGAACTCATAGCCTAGGACAGTTGTTTCCCAGAAACCTACCTCAAATGTACATTCTCTGTTTCAAATTTAACAGCTGAGTAATCAAGCCCCTAAATTTTCACTCTCTGGGAATCTTAGGAATGGGCTTCAGAAACATAATTGACCTCTCTATCCTTACCTTTTATATAGAAGACCCAACAAACACAATCCCCCCACCCAAGCATTGGCAAATACTGGTATTATGAAGGAAAGGATTTTTAGACAAACAGCTTTGATCTGGCCAAAAATAGGCAGCAGGGAACACACTTGACATTTCATGGGGAAAATGGACTTGCTGTAATTGTTGGCACTAGCCAGAAACATCATAGCTCCAGCCTACACCATCTGTTGAAAAGGGATATTGTGGGCCATGGGCTGGAAAAATCCCTGTGGTGAAGGAGAGCTATATTGGAAGTTTTGAGAAGGAAATGAGAAAATCAATGCAACAATGGAAAAAAACCATTATATGCAACTCTCATACTTTAAAGAGAGGGGGATATAAAAAAGGAATCTCTATGAGCTAAAACAGGGAGATGTATGTGAGGATTCAGACATAAGAAGCTGAGAGAAGTAAATGGCTCTGCTTAGGACAGAGAGTTGGAGAGAAGGAGATGGTTCAAGAAAGACAGGGGCTGATGCTCTTCCATCTCCTAAGATTGCACGGAACAGAGGCAAGACTGCCTGCTGAAGAGTTTGATAAAGGTTTATTGTATAATGTGCCAGGTAACCTCTTTCATTGTACCCCTGAGGATATCAATAAAAGGCATCTTGAATATGTTTGTAATTAAATTTATCATTGGTTGAGGGGTGGGAGATGGATTTCAGCACCTGCTGTCAGAAGTGACCCTAAGTGCTCCAATAATATACTGCATCAATAAGGTTGCTGCCGGTATTGTAAATTATTTCAACCAAAGTTGAGTGATTAAATATGGGCTTTACCTTCAGAGAAATGGAGTAATTTTGAAGAAGCTTAGAGAGACGTTTCAAACTTGCCACAAGCACAGCTGCCGCAGATGCTCCAACCTTCTTCAGAGAGGTTTTAAAAATATTGAATGAATTTTGGCAGGTACCTGCTGCTTCTCACTCCTACTCAGTGCTTGCCCCCTGCTGTGCCTGCTCAATTGACTGCCTGCCAGTCCTAAGAAGAGAAGATCTAGATTGCTCTGGTCTTTTTTTGGCAGCTTGGTTTGAAAACAAACAAACAAACATTTACCCCTCTCCAATGCCCACAGAATGTTGAACTACCTGGTTTAGGATAAGGTGCAATGGCTATTACAGTAACCAGTAAAATAGAGTGAGGAAGTAAAAAAACTTGGGTTATTGTTAAGCCTGAGGTGGGAATCCCAGCTGTTTCAAATAGTACAAAATGTAAGGGTGATTAAATGCTCTGTTTTAGATGCTTTTAATGAATCCTCCAGTAATCAGATTCATACTCTGGTCTTTGCCTTGAAAAGTACTTAATACTACCAGTTTCTGAATCTTTTAGGAGTCTGCAATTTGTTTCCTAGGGACTTGGTGTTTAGTTCTTGTGGTCTGCTCAAGAATTATTACAGATCCCTCTGTTTTCCAGCTTCCAAAATTTTGCTCAGATTTTTTTTTGTCTGACTCCTTTTGCCCCGCCTTTCCTTCATTTGAGGAGGTTTTCTACTGGGATCAAAAAA